AGCAGAGGAGGGAAAGGGGGAGGGATATAAATGAGAGAATGATAACACAAGAAAAGGATAGGAGAGAAAAGGAGGAAAGAAGAGGTAGACAAGAAACCTGTCGACAAGGGTATATTAGTGGCTCATTTCTAGTTTTAATTCCTTGTGGAGCTTAAATGTACTATGTGGGTTTGGCTTCTGTGAATACTCATATATCCTTTTAGGGCATGTCTTTCTTTCTTCCTTCCTTCCTTCCTTCCTTCCTTCCTTCCTTCCTTCCTTCCTTCCTCTCTTTCTTTCTTTCTTTCTTTCTTTCTTTCTTTCTTTCTTTCTTTCTTTCTTTCTTTCTTTCTTTCTTTCTTTTTTTCTTTCTTTCTTTCTGTTTCTTTCTTTTTCCCTCCCTCCCTCCCTCCCTCCCTCTCTTTCTTTCTTTCTTTCTCTTTATTTATTATTTTTTGGGAGGGTTTTTGTCTTGGGCACACAAACACACGCACCTGACTTGAGTTTTAAGCCACTGGGTCCGGGACTTGAACCGCGGTCAACTACATGGGAGTTCAGCGACATAGCCATTACTCTAACTGCTGGTCCCATCTTTCTTTTTCTTTTTTTTTTTTTTTAGGGAGTTTTTTGCTATAGGGTATGTGTGCTCACTGAATAGACGGAGAGACAGAAAACAAGAAATCACCTTCCCTGGGGGTGGCCACAATGCAATCGCTTCTCCTCCATTCTCCTCTTGGGATCTTGGGCACGCACACACATGTGACCTGTCTGAGTGTAAGATGACGGGTTTGGGATTTGAACTGTGGTTGACTACGTGGGAGTACAACAACATACACAACCATTATATGATCTGCTGGTCCCGTGTGTGTGTTTCTTAAAGTAAGTTATTAGATTGTCAGTAAATCACGACATATTTTTCTATGCTTTTTTGTGCAAAAATGTGTCATGACTTTCCTAACAACCCAATAGTTAAACCCCTTTTACTTCCATCCTATTTTCCTTCCTAAGGAATCACAAAGGGATTGGGCTGCCAGCCATTTAGAAACAGAAAGGACATAGTTTCTTTAATTCTCAACGCTTACATGTGCTGAAACCTTGATCTGTAGGTAGAAACACTCTTGAGAAGCCAGCCTGCACATTTCCTTACTTTTAATGAACACTGCAACTGCATCTTGACCATTCCAGAAGACATATTCTATTTTTAGTAAAAGCCCAGTAATGGAATCCTATATTGTTTCTTCGTAATTCATTTTCAGTGCAAACAGTCTCATAACTTGGAGGTACTACCTCCTGTGGAATATAAATAATTCTGATTGCAATGACTCATGTTTCCCAAGCCAAACCAACCAGGGGGTAGAATCTGTTCACAAAAGAGCAATAAAATGTATTTCTCCACATCTGTTCCCACAATATTAGGAATTCCAGCCTTACTCAAAACTCTATCCGAAGTTCTGAGTCTCCAGAGAATTGCTTCTGGGTGTTCTATGAATTAGTCCTTTCAACATTTTTTAAAGTTTACTTATTTATTTTTTCTGAGAGAGACAAAAAAAAAAAAAAAAAGAAGAAGAAGAAGAAAGAGAGAGAGAGAGACCCCAACAGGGTGTTTACGTGAGTCCAACCCCTGTCTCGGTTTGGATCATGATGCACCCACAACTTATGTGTTCAGGGAGGTCCTGGGATGCAAACCCAGGACCTTCCTATGTGGATCCAGATTGTTCTCCCTGCACCACCACCTGGCCCAAGTCCTTTTAACTTTAAAGTAGTACTTTCCATTTTCTTTCTTTCCAGTTCTGGCTTCCTGCAGCAATGCCTGCCGTCAATGCTTAAGAAGCACAACTCTCTCCACTCATCTGGAGTTGCCTGGAGACCTCCGAATCTGAGAGTCTTCCTAAGGCTTTCAATACCCCTCAGATATTTTAGTAGGGTCTCACTTTCAGCTATGTCTTGCTCTTTTCTTGGTAGAACCTTCTTCCTAGAGTTCAAGATTAGTCCCCAAATATGCTGAGGATAGAGTAGATGATAGAGATGGTATTTTCAGTGATAGAAATGGCTTTTATTCCCCCCTCTCTTTACCTTTGACACAGCTCAGTACACTAGGAACTGTCTTCTACCCTTTAATTCTCCCTTCACTCAATGAGTTCTTCCCCAGAGTCTCCTTGTCTGCATTATGAGGGGACTTCAAAAAATTCATGGAAAAAATAGAATTAAAATATGAGTTTATTTTCATGCAACATTTTTTGAAATAAATCTATGCATAAATTTTTATAACGTGCATTTTCTATCAGTTTTTTTTAAAAATTCCTTGAACAAACACATATTCAAAAATAGTTTTAAATTGTATTTATTATTATTATTAATTATTTTGAGCTCACCAGAGAGAGAGACAGAGAGAGAGAGAGAGAGAGAGAGAGAGACAGAGAGAGAGAGAGAGAGAGAGAGAGAGAGAGAGAGAGAAAGGAAACCAAGAAAGCAGGTTGCCAGGTCCACAACTCAAATCAAGGTCAGCCTTGTGAGAGTCTAGCTCCTTAACCACCATGCTACCTGCTGGTCCCACAAATAGATTGATGGAGATGCCTGAACTTCCTTAGGCAAACCCCAGCATACCTGGGTTTTGGAGTCAACATTGCTGGCTCAAGTGGAAATCCTACTTGTACAGATAAGCAATCCTGCCTCTGGAGCAGAACTGCCTCAAATCCCAGTGTTTGAGGAAATGCAGCTAAACATCTAGGTGCCTATCTTTTATTAGGCTCTGGCTTTAGGAAGCTATTACAACGTTTTGCACATTCGAATCTGCAAAATTATAGGGCATATTGTCATTGCATTCCTTATAGTAATACCAAAGTGGTAAGCCATTATAGACCTGGATGTTTGTGGAGGTTTCTAGTACTCTTCTGTCTGTCTGTTTTTCTTTTCTTTCTGATGTTTGCTATAGGTCATGTGCGCTTGCAGGAGATAGAGAGAGAGAGAAAGGGAAAGTAAGAAAGCACCCCTCAGGGAAGATGGCCATGCTGCAATCCCTTCTCCTCCATTTTCCTCTCAGGATTTTGGGCACACATGCACATGTGGCTGGCTTGTTTTTCAAGCCACCAGGTCCAGGACTCAAACCACACAGTCAGGTTGGATCCAGTTGCCTTAACACCTGCTGGTCTCCTTTCTTTTTTATTTTATTTTCTTTCTTTCTTCTCAAAGAGAGAAAGAAAGAGAAAGAGACACCCGCAAGGGGGGTGTCTTCCCACCATAATCCACCCAGCCCCAGCCAGCCCTGGATCATGGGCACAAGCATGCTTGGCATGTTCAGGCAAGTCTCTGGATGTGAATCTGGGACCTTCCCTGTGGGAGGCCTCACAGAGCCCGAGTTACCGCTGTACCACCATTGAGCCCCGAGGACCACTTCTATAACCAGACATCTGCAGTGGTCTCGGGCAGGCAACCAGCAGACCGTCCCCCATGGGCAAGGCCACCTGCAGTTCACTTAATGAACACCATGGTTTCGTACTCAGGTTGAGCTGCAAGTCAGTCACCCTTGGACCTGACTTCAGATGCTGCAGGCTCTTTGAAGAGTTTTTGGAATAGGTTTTTCTCTGGACTGTCTATTTCCTGTAACATAACCTAGTTCTAGTATTTTCTTGTAGGTCTTCTTTTCTACTTTTAACCACCTCTTTGGCTGCTTCTAAACAGTCTCCATGCTTCCCATGTCCTCTCTTAAGTGACACACACTACGGGCTGCCCTCTGACTGTCAGCCTGGTTCTGAGCTTAGGCCACTGAGGGACCTAGCACTGACAACGAGACTCTTACTTTTGTGGCCACCTACTTGCTGCTCTGTTCCCCTTATGGAGTATCACTGGCTCCCAGCTTGGAATGCCTATGAGCCCTTTGCACCCCCATTTTCCTGTATGCACCCATCCCATGCTCTTCCTGAAGACTGTTCAGTCCCAGATCGAGTACGCACAGAGAAGAGCTGGTAACAGCCCAGGGGCCCAGAGGAAGAAGGTGCCTATGAGGAGGCAGCTCTCAAGGCTAGGCTAGATCTCCTTTTTTAAAATTTGTTTCTTCTGAGAGGGAGAGAGAGGCACTCAAGCAGGATTCTCTTACTGAGATCCACCCACGTTCACGTCATGAACACAAGCTAGCCTGGCGTACTCAGTGAGACCCCGGGGCGTGAACCCAGGGCCTTCCCATGTAGGTCCAGTGGCGCTGTACTGCCGCCTGGCCCTAGGTTTCTTAGCCTTCCTTTTGCCATCTGCCTTCCTTCCTCCATATGTCTCCTGCCTTTGAGCCTCTTCAAGCCCAGCATGCTGGGAAGGGCCAGAGGATCAGGACCCCCAGGACATCCCAGCCCACGCTCTGTCAGGAATGATCCAGCCCTGAAGGGTTAAGGCTGGAGCCTTGGCGGATGGAGCAGATTATTAGTTATCGTTGAGAGAGCTAGCAAGGGTTCCTCCCCTGTCGCTTACACGCCCGTTTCACATGATCTCTGGCCGTGGCTGTGGAAGCGGGGGAGAGAAAAGGAGAAAAAAAAGTTTACAGAATCATTTAGCAAGTCCTTGTAAATGCTTGTGTTTCCATTTAGCAGCGTGGATCCCAGACGCCAGCAGACCCTGAGAGGCAGCAGCCAGTTGGGAATTGAGTGGAAAAAAATCGGCATCCTGGCCTCTGGAACTGTCCAGTGTTTCTGGTGGGGGAGGCGATGGGGGAACTCTTCTGGGGGAGGGTTCAGCTCTGGGCTCTCATGGCCAAAACACTAAAGATCAGCTCCATGTGTGTGACCCAGCTGTCCTGGAAGCTTCAGTTGGAAGAGACTCCAAACTTTAAGCTGTGCTTGTAGCTTTGGTTCAAGAAAAATGGGGGACAGGAGCGGGGGGGGGCAGGATGGGGACAGGATGGGGACCGAGGCTTAGGGGGAGGGCGCAGGTTTGGAAGCGGGTGGGGAGGAGGCGGAAGGGAGCGACATCTTTAAGTCTTCCCTATGGTTATACATATTTTTTCTTCTATGAATGGGTTTTGCTGTAAATTATAGCTTTGTCCATGGTCCCTCAGGTCAGAAGAAATAGTCTCTAAACAGAAAACAGCTCTGATTGGTGACTTTCCTTCTTCCCTCCCAACCCCCTTCCTAATTGAAACCAAATGTGCAATATATTGGATGCTGGGATCCCTGGCGCGTTCCCAGGAATCCTCAGAATGTGAGGTTTCTCTCAAAGGCATCTTGCATCAGCCTGTGGGTGCAGGCCTGCCACCGGGCTCCCTCACCGGCGAACTGGAAAAAGAAGCGCCTCGCAACAAACCCCTCTTTCTGGGTTGGGCGAACGCAGTGGATTATAGCTCTGTTTTCTTCTTTCCCAAACTGTGCACCCCTGGATGAAAGTAAGTTATGTGAATCTTTTTTTTTTTCCCCTTCACTTTTTCTTTCCTTTTTCAAAAACGAAAGCTCTTGGTGTTTCAGGAAAAGTTCGAAACGGGAGACAGAGTAAGGAAAGGGAAGGAGGCATCACAGACTCAGGAAAGCAGATGCCATGTTTTTTGGAGGGGGGTCTGGAGTTATGTTATGGAGGAAAGAAGAAAGAGTAGGAATAACCAAAGAAGGCTGAAGCGGAGTAAATGAATCCACGACTGCTTCAAGATACAATAAACAGCGTTAGCGGGGTTGAAATTGTTGGCAGGCGAGACGGGCTGATCTCAGAGTGAGTTTCAGGATGGAGAACCCAGAGCGGGGAGCTAGGTGTTGAGGCATTTGTGCAGTGGTGGTGTTGGAGACTCCTGTGTTTTGGGGAAAACGTAGACCAAGCACTTTGTGGTTTTTGGAGGGAGCTGCTGATTTCGTGGTGAAGAGAGGCAGCTTTGGATGTGGGGTGCTTCACCCTGAGGTTGGGGTGACTGGGCGGGAGGCCGGCATATGGAGGATCTTTCTGTGGGGGATGAACACAATGTCCAGACTCACCTCTCCCTGTGCTGTCTCTGGGTGCCTTTTCTTTGTGATGAAATTACTTGGGTCTGTTTTCAGCCGGGACTGCCGAGTCCTGGCCCCACTCGAGAGCCCCATCCAAAGGGAAGGAGAAGTTCTCCGAGTGGCTGAAACTCTCAGGCCAGGCATTTGAGGGAGAGTTCGTCCTGTTGAAGCCGGTCGGGCCTCAGCACCATCTTGCCCCATGTTAGAGTCCTGGAAGGGGTCTCCCGGATCTCATGTGACCCCCATTCCACTGATGTCAAAAGTGATAGACAGGGAACTGAGGCGTTCAGGGCTCACAGGAGATCAGGAACAGACGGAGACAGGCAAAGGAGGCTCCTGCTACTTGGAATCCAGTGTTCTTTCCCTGCCAAGCTCTCTTTCAGTTCCTTTCTAAGGCTTATTCCGGCCGGGACAACACGGCAGTGAATGAATGTTACTGCAAGGACATAAGTTATCAGCCGAGAGAGGACACACCGATGGTGGTTCATTGGCTCACGGTAACTGTGGTAGAATTTGGCTCTGTGTGTGCGTGTGTGCATGTGTGCGTGTGTGTGGAAATTCAAAAAGTGAACATCTGAGCTAAGATCTTGCTCTGCACCAGGCTCCATGCTCAGCGTTTCACGTGTATTCTTTGATCCCTCCAGTTCTGTGAGGCGTTATTTCTATTTTATAGGTAAGGGGATGAAGGCTTAGAGAAGGGAGGCAAGTTGCCCCAGGAAATGCAGCACATGCATTTGAAACTCATGGTGTCTGATTGCAAAGCTGCGCTCTGAATCATGATTCAATAATGTCCCCTCAGCGCCCTCCACACAGGCACCCTGTTACTTCTGGAGTCGGGTTCCATGTTTCCCTCGCGACCAGGAAATGAAGATGTCAGGCTAGGGCAGCAGTGCGGGTTCGCTCTCGGGGGTCACCTCTGTACTCGAATGAGCAATTATCTCGATATCAGATATGGGTTAATTTCTGGGTGTTTGGTGTGTATGAGGGCTCGAAAGGTTCATGGAAAATGTGTTTTAAGAAAACAAAAAACTATGTATGGATTTCAGAAAATGTTCTGTACCAAAATAAACTTGTATTTCAATTTTATTTTTACACAAACTTTGGGAAATCCCTTGAACTTACCTTTGTTAGGCCAAGAGCCTGGGATTTAGAGTAGGAGGGCCCAGGATAAGTTTCGCTCTCCCTTTTCCTACTTGGCAAAGTTGTTTTACCCTTCTGTGTCTTGACTTTCAAACTTATCACGTTAAAGTAATAACACTGCTCTCAGTATTACTGTTTTAAGATATAGGGGACATGGGGCTGGCAGGTGGCATGGTGGTTGGGGCACTGAATTCCCACATGATTGGCCATTGCTGTTTGAATCCCGTACCTGGTGGCTTGTTTTCTCACTTTCCCTCTCTCTCTCTGGTCAAATAAAAAAATAATTAAAATTAAGTAAAATAATTCTTTTTTAAGAAGGCTATATGGGGCATGAATGTATTCTAAAAGCTACAAAGGGCTTCACCACATCAGCCCTTATGGTAACCGGCCACCACAACGCGATGTGAGGCCGCCCTGCCAGGCCGGAGCTAGCAGTTGGTGCTGATGCCAGCGAGGGAGGGAAGCTGAGTTTGGCTAAGCGTGGAACTTGCAATGAGTGGCCGGTCGCAGTGCCTGTCTTCTCCGAATGGAGCCATCTCTCTTTCCGGGGCATGTTCCTGGGTTTTCTATCCAATCCTTTCCTCTGACAGCCTAATTTGTCTGTGATTTCCCACCCAATGTGGTAGAAACTGCTTGTTTAAGCATGTCCTGCTTAAATCTGCGCTGTCTCTGACCAGGCAGTGTTCACTAGGACCAGTCCGCTGGATTTCCTCAAAGGAGTCCGAGGAGCTTAAATCCAGCTGAGGACAGACCCCTGACGCGGGACGTTCATGTCACTGCAGGCTCATCTGCTCTCCTGCGTTCCTTCACATGCCCTAGTTTGAGGCCATGCTCAGAAGATTTGCAGCCACTCCTACAGTGTGGGTGGAGGGTCGGTGTGTGCGAGGGCTCCTTCTCCGCTCCTGGTTAAGATCCATCTGCTGTGGAAACTCCAACAATGAAATAAGCAGGGAATTTGCTTCCAGAATCTTTTTCTTAAACCTCCAACCATCTCCGTCCCCAGGCAAGGACAGGAGCATCATCCAAAGAAGCTGAGTTCCCTACTTATTTATAAGCGTCTCACCACTCTGTGAACTCGCTATGTTCTTCCCTTCTTATGCAGTCACTTTCCGGACTTGAAATCAAATGAATTCTCTTTCACATGTTAGCAAATTTAGTGCCAAGTGTTTCAGGTGATTGCTTTTCTTTTCTTTTTCTTTTTCTTTTTTCTTTTTTAGTTTGCTATAGGGTATGTGCACCTGCTGAAGACAGAGACAGAAAGAAAGGAAGTGATAAATCACCCAGCAGGGGGGATGGCCATGCTGCAATCCCTTCTCCTCCATTCTCCTATGGGGATTCTGGGCATGCACACACGTGCACCCAACCTAACTTTCAAGACACCAGGTCAGGACTGGAACCGCAAAGTCAGCCATGTGGGATCCAGTGCCTTAACCTGCATGCCACCTGCTGGCCCTGCTTGCATTTTTAGTGGTCATACTACAAAAAAAGAGAGTGGCTTCCTCTCATATATTAGTGTCATGCCCTTTCTGATTAGCACTCGCTCTCAGACATCCTTCCCAAGTGTCTTCACAAGATCCACTTTCAGGCACTTTACATCACCCGCACCTCCCACATCCAACTCACACACGCATCTCACAGGCCTCCAGAAAGCAAACACCCAGCTAAAAACGAATCTCTGCAGACATGCTAATGTCACGTGGCAGCTCACATAAACGGGGACTGTCCACAGCATGGTACTGGCATCTGCACACCTCGTGCCCTGTTGAGAGAATCATACAAGTTGATCCGCATATGACTGGATCGACCGACTCCTCCGTCCAGTCGCACCTCCAACATCCTCAGGCACCCCAGAGCCTCTCTACTCCCTGCACCCATCCAAAATGAGGACTGCTCGCTGGTAGATTAGGAGCTCCGGGTAGACCTCAGGGGTTTCCAGACCAGCTGAAAAAAGAAAATGACCTCATAGAAGTAGGCAGATGAAGAATGACTATTAGAGGTGGGGACGGGCATGGGGACAGACATAAAGGGGTACTTCTTAATGGAAGTGAAATTACGGGTAGGTAAGAGGAACACTGTCCAGCATTAAGAAATACAGTGGGGTGAACTAGTTAACAACAACTTTCTCTATATCACGGAGTAATTAAAACAGAGGACTCTGAATGTTCCCCAAAACGTAATGACAAATGGCGGTGATGCTCGATATACTGCCGATAGTTACTCCGAATTAATCGATATACACTGGGCCATGTACTGACCGTGCGTTGTAACCCCGAAAACATATGCAATTATTATAAGGTAATTAAATATAAATGAAAGTGGAAATGACTATAGATTATTTCATAAATTCTAGACTAAAAGAGTTATTTGATACATCAGTATTTTAAAAAATATTCTTAACATAAAATTATTAAATGTTTAAAAAACAGGGAAATTTTAACAGCAATTAAATCAGAACATCTGAAGGCAGGAATTGGAAATAAGTAATTGTAATATTCCCCAGGTGATTCTAATATGAACCCAGATTAAATACTTCTAATAAATCCCCAAGTGTGTTGCCGTAAGCAATTTGAGTCTATTCTGTGTGATTTAATTTATTTAATCAGTATTTAGTGATAGTCTGCTAGAGTCAGACTCTGTGGTTAAGATTTCCTAATAAAGGGGACCAACAGAGGGTGTAGTGGTTATATCACTGGACTCTTATATGGCCGACCGCAGTTCAAGTCCTGGACCCAGTGGCTTCAAACATGCGAGACACATGTGCATGCATGCTCAAGATCCTGGGAGGAGAATGGACAAGGGGTTGCGGTGTGGCCATCCTCCCCAGGGGATGATTTCTCACTTTCCCTCTCACTGTCTCTGTCTCTCTCTCTGGCAAGCACACACGATACCCTAAGGCAAAAACCTCTACTGACCCACACACACAACAAGATTGTCTAAAAAGGGCCAGCAGTGGTTAAGGCAGGTGGTACAGTGGTTAAGGCAGTGGACTCCCAACTGTGGTTCGAGTCCTGGACTTGGAGGCTTGAAACTCATGCCAGGTAGGGGTGTGTGTGTGCCCAAATTCTCAAGAGAAGAATGGAGGAGAAGGGATTGCGGTGTGGCCATTGCCCCAGGGAGTGATTTCTCACTTTCTCTCTGTCTCTGTCTCTCTGAAGAGTGCACGTGCCCTATCGCAAAAATCTCTCATATATATATGTGTGTATATATATGTGTGTGTGTGTGTATATGTGTGTATATATATATATGTGTGTGTGTATATGTATGTATATATGTGTGT